TCCACTAGACCCTGATCCAGTAAGTACAAAATGTACATCATGTATGATGATCCACTAGACCCTGATCCAGTAAGTACAAAATGTACATCATGTATTATGATCCACTAGACCCTGATCCAGTAAGTACAAAATGTACATAATGTATGATGATCCACTAGACCCGATCCAGTAAGTACAAAATGTACATTATGTATGATGATCCACTAGACCCTGATCCAGTAAGTACAAAAATATGTGTACATTATGCCTAATGATCTTCTAGTCCCTGATCCTTGATCCAAAACACTGGGAGGGAAGAGTTTAAAGATTATCTTCTAGAATTTATTTCTCAATTGACACAGTTTTCTTTGTTATTCACAAGGCTTTATTTTTGTTATAACCCTCATTATAAATGCGAGGTCAATATATAGCTAGCTATTAACCTGGTTAATAACTATATATAGGCTTTTGATAGAAAACCTTCTCAATTGATAAATGAAATACTTTTTTACCTTGCCTGCGGCCCTCGGGATGTATATGGCTTATTGCCTCCGTTCTCGGTAATTAACTCTTACATTGTTTTGTTATTATTTCAGCTGAAGAGTGTTGACAACATTGTCCATAGATACATGAAGCCAGAGAGTCTTGCATCAATGACGGGGGACCCTATATGGGGTAAAATAAACAGGTAAGATACACAGTCAGATYGACAGGCATGCTAGGCTAATAGGCTGTTTCCACAATCATTCATTTTAATACCATTACAACTCATTGCTTTGCAAAAAAAATTCATAGCTCTTGCATCATAACCCATTTAGCTCTTCTAAAAATATTGAATTTAAATTTCCAATTTACTTTTTTTTTTTTAAGAACTGAATTTGTGTCTCCGATGGATGATTTAGCATTTGATATGTACCAGGTAATTATGATGATGATAATCATTGTTGTGGGGATGGCAGTGATGATGATGATGATGATTAGACTAAGCTGGTTTGTGTCTGTGATGGATGATGATTTAGCATTGTTGATGATGATCATTGTGGAACATCACTGAAGAGCCCTGTCAGGGAATGGGGGTTGTAAAATATAAAATATAAATATTGTAGTGGTGATAGTATTGATGATGATAATGATTAGCCTAAGTTAATGAAATAATGAACAAATGAATGAATGAAAGATAGGCCTCTTTTTCTCTGGGATTGTTGATCTTYCTCCCTCTGCAAAACTTCACACCAACACGCCACCCTTTTTAAAGCTTTTTCCATTAATTGTCTTGTAACAGGATCCAGAAACAGCTAATTTAATCAGAAGATTAGAATCAAAGAAAAGAGAAGCAGTGCAAAGTAAGCCTCAATATACTATAATGCTGACTGCAGATCACAGTCAACTCCAAAGGAGTTCATAGGGTGTCACATACTGGTGGATTTACTGACAGTAGGTTGTTTAAGGATCAGCAAAGTCTTACTATATACTGTGCAAGGTTGACTGCTAAGGCTAGAAACGATTGTCAGGATTTTTGTACTTAGGTAATTTTGTAAGGTGTCAGTAGGGTGTTGGTAAGGTGTTGGTAAGGTTTTAGTAGGGTGTTGGTAAGGTGTTAGTAGGGCGTTGGTAAGGTGTCAGTAGGGTGTTGGTAGGG